AGTTCTTTCTGTTCTTTCCCTCCCTCAAGAACAGGAGGCCTCTTCTGTTTTGCTGGTGTGAGTCAGCAATTACAAAAATAGATCAAAGAATACTGTCTTAGATACCAAGGCATTTCCTGAATATAAGGCGGTGGGTGACTAGGAAAGCATTATTCTAGATGCTATCTTGTAGTTATGGCTTGTGAATAATCACTCCTTGTTATTATGGTAAACTTTAGACTTTTAGAGAAAATAAAAACATAATAATGCTATATTTTAAATCTGTATTTTACATTTGCAAAGATATAGTTATTAAGCATGCCCTTCCTAGGATGGACAGGCAAAAAATTAGAAGCATATTCTTTGGTCACTTCTATTGATGGTTCCTTGTTAATTAGACATACAACAGTGCATGAACTAATTTCTAACATTTTTAGGAATGATTAAAAATGTTATTGTGTTACTAAGACATTTTAAAGCTATATCTAAAATTTAGGGATGGGGATTGGCTATTTTATGCTTGATATGTTGCAAAATGGTGACTGCTTTTGCAGAAGGATATGTGAATACCAGATTATAAAGGATAGTTTAAATAATCTGGAAATGATTATTTGATATTATTGATGATAATATGCATCATTTATAAAATAGTTTATTTAGCTGCATCTGCTGGAAATTGTTAACATCAATCACAATACTGAATAAACTGTGTACTTCTCTATATATATCAACAATTAATCTTCAGACAATTTTTATATAAAGTGCACATATATGTGCAGAAAGTTGCACATATATGTCAACTTACCTGAGACTGTGCATTAATATTAGCTCCTTCCTTAACTAGAACTTTGACCACTTCAGCCTGTCCCGCCAAGGAGGCAATATGTAGTGCGGTATTTCCCTTCTGCTTTGCACAAAATAAAAAGTACACATTAATTCTTGTACCTAGAATTCAGAGCAACATACAGTACAATCTCTATAATATCAATAAAAATATGAATTAAATGTTGAAATTTCTCCATTATCAAATGTTCAATATCTTCCATTTCCTTTAAAATCTGATTTAAATTAAGATTATCGAAACACATTTCTAGGAAAGCAATATACTTATTCGTTTAAAAAAATCAGTACTGTTGGTAGGCATTTCATTAGGAAGCATCACAATTTGGGAATAATTTACTTAAATAGTTGTTTCTAATTATGAAATTCTGTCAACAACATGAACATTGAAATATAGTTATGCACACCAATTCCTAATAAACCAAAAGAATTGAACTACTTTAGAATATCCGCTGAAAGAAAACAACAGTTCTAATCCATAATGAAATAAATTATTCTATCAGCTGCACATAAGAAGAAGCAGGAAATGGGGGAACAAATGAGTTTATATTTGTTTCAGGCTTGTTCTGCCTGTCTTGGTTAAATATTAAATCCTGATTTTAGTATAATAAATCCAAAACAATCATTACTTGCAATAAGTCTTGCAAAGTTTTACAGAACTAAAATTGTGATTCATGTGCAGATGAAATTTCATTCAGAATTAGAAAGAGAAAGCAACTTGTAGAAATTATTTGGGAAATATACAAAGGGCATAATTTAGAAATTATGCCTAACTAAAGTTCAAATCATTAAAACAATTTACTAATAGATTTTAGCATTCACTCTTTTGGGTTAATTATATTTTTCTAAGCACCTGGACAGTAAATAGTACCTTAGTTGCAGAATCAACTGCAGATCCTCTTTCCAGCAATTCCTGAACCAAACCTACGTGGCCTTCTTTGGCAGCCAGGTGTAAGGCATTAAGTCCATTCTGTATACAAATAAATTATACTGTTAATTTGGAGGTTACATTGACATGTCAGAATGTCATATTAGGCACACTGTTTCTCAACTTCAGTATAAATCATAGACCTAGCAAGATGGGAGCAATAATTTCCCAGTGTGGAAAATCTATTAAATCAGCATAAAGCAGATACTGTCCAAAGCAAGAAAGGAAACAGTCAAATAACATTCATAATTTAGGTCTGTGTGTTTAATTTATCATTTATTTACCTTTTCTAATCTTACAAGAACCTGAAGAATTCAACCAGAAAAACAATATAAATATAGATAACATACATGTAAACATAGAAATTAACTCATTGGTTGCCTACCATCGTACCAAGGGCCAAAGTGCTTTCAAAATAAAATTGTCTTCAGAGTTTTTCAGAAGCAGAAGAGAGTTGGGCCCAGATGCACCCCCATGCAAAGAGGCCCTCAACAAAAATGCCTTACATGTAGCACACACAACGTGTACTTTATAAGCCACATATAGATATTGAAACTAGATTGGCAGAATTATATTTGAAAAGGCATTCCTAAATGTATTGTAAGGGAGAGTAAATTCAAATGTATTGAAAGAGATTGTTGTTTTTAGTTGTGAAGTCATGTCTGACCCATCCACTCCATGGACAACATTCCTCCAGGCCTTCCTGTCCTCTA